ATGCAAGGCTGGTTCAGCATACACAAATCAATAAACATAACCCAACACATAACATCAGTCATAACAGTACTGATGATAAAAACCATATGATTATCTCCACAGATGCAGAAAAAGCCTTTGATAAAATTCAACATCTCTTTATGTTAAATACTCTCAATAAATTAAGTATTGATGGAACATATCTCAACATAGTAGGAGCTATTTATGACGAACCCATAGCCAATATCATACTGAATGAGCAAAAGCTGGAAGCATTCCCTTTGAAAACCAGCTCAAGACATGCCCTCCCTCACCACTCGTATTCAACATAGTATTGAAAGTTCTCACCAGGGCAATCAGGCAAGAGAAAGAAAGAAAGTCAGTGTATTCAAATAGGAATAGAAGAAGTCAAATTGTCTCTGTTTGCAGATGACATGATTGTATATATAGATATCCCCATCATGTCACTGCCAAAACTCCTTAAGCTGATAAGCAACTTCAGCATAGTCTCAGGATACAAAATCAATGTGCAAAAATCACAAGCATTCCTGTACACCAGTAAGACAAGCAGACAGCCAAATCATGAATGAACTCCCATTCACAATTGTTACAAAGAGGATAAAATACCCAGGCATACAGCTGACAAGAGATGTGAAGGACCACTTCAAGGAGAACTACAAACCACTGCTCAAGGAAATAAGAGAGGACACAAACAAATGGGAAAACATTCCATCCTCTTGGACAGGAAGAATCAATATCATGAAAATGGCCATACTGCCCGAAGTAATTTACAGATACAATGCTATTTCCATCAAGCTACCACTGACATTCTTCACAGAATTAGAAAAAACTACTTTAAATTTCATATGGAACCAAAAAAAGAGCCCATATAGCCAAGACAATGCTAAGCAAAATGAACAAAGCTGGAAGCATCACGCTACCTAACTTCAAACTATATTACAAGGCTACAGTAACCAAAACTGCATGGTACTGGTACCAAAACTGACATAATAGACCAATGGAACAGAACAGGCACCTCCAAAATACCACCACACATCTACAACCATCTGATATTCAACAAACCCGACAAAAACAAGCAATGGGGAAAGGATTCCCTATTTAATAATTGGTGCTGGGAAAAGTGGCTAGCCATATGCAGAAATCTGAAACTGGACCCCTTCCTTACGCTTTATACCAAAATGCCTCAAGATGGATTAAAGACTTAAATGTAAAACCCAAAACCATAAAAACCCTGGGAGAAAACCTAGGCAATACCATTCAGGACATAGGCATGGGCAAAGACTTCATGACTAAAACACCAAAAGCAATTGCAACAAAAGCCAAAATTGACAAATGGGTTCTAATTAAACTAAAGAGCTTCTGCACAGTAAAACAAACTATCATCAGAGTGAACAGGCAACCTACAGAATGGGAGAAAAGTTTTGCAATCTACTCATCTGACAAAGGTCTAATATCCAGAATTTACAGGGAGCTTAAACAAATTTACAAGAAAACAACCATCAAAAAGTGGGCAAAGGATATGAACAAAAGAAGACATTTATGTGGCCAACAAACATATGAAAAAAAGCTCATCATCACTGGTCATTAGAGAAATGCAAATCAAAACCACTATGAGACACCATCTCATGCCAGTCAGAATGACGATTATTAAAAAGTTAAGAAACAATAGATGCTGGTGAGGCTGTGGAGAAATAGGAATGCTTTTACACTGTTGGTGAGAATGTAAATTAGTTCAACCATTGTGGAAGACAGCGTGGTGACTCCTCAAGGATCTCGAACCAGAAATACCTTGACCAAGCAATCCCATTACTGAGTGTATACCCAAAGAAATATAGATCATTCTAAGGACATATGCACATGTATGTTTATTGCAGCACTATTTACAATAGCAAAGATATGGAACCAAACCAAATGCCCATCAATGATAGAGGGATAAAGAAAATGTGGTACATATATATCTTATGATACTATACAGCCATAAAAAAGGATGAGTTCATGTCCTTTGCAGGGACATGGATGAAGCTGGAAGCCATCATGCTCAGCATACTAACGCAGGAACAGAAAACCAAACACTGCATGTTCTCACTCATAATTGGGAGTTGAACGATAAGAACACATGGACTCAGGGAGGGGAACAACACATACTAGGTCCTGTCGGGGAGTTGGAGGGAAGTGTGGGAGAGCATTAGAACAAATACCCAATGCATGCAGGGCTTAAAACCTAGATGATGGTTTGGTAGGTGCAGCAAACCACCATGGCACATGTATACCTATGTAACAAACCTGCATGTTCTGCACATGTATCCCAGAATGTAAAGTAAAATAAAAATAAAAATAAAAACAAACTTTTAATTAAAAAAAAGAGAAAATAACCCTACAGACCAATATCTTTCGTGTACATAGATGCAAAATTCTCAACAAAATATTAGCAAATTGAACCCACCAAGGTGAAAAAATAATAATAATTATACATCCCAATCAAGTGCGATTTATTCCAAGTATGCAAGGCTGATTCAACATTCAAAAATCAATTAACATAGATTAATCACATCAAGAGGTCAAAGAAGAAACATATGAACATATCAACAGATGCAGAAAAATTATTTGACAAAGTTCAATAACCTTCATGATATAATCTCTTACCAAATTAGGAATAGAGAGAATTTCCTCAACTGAACAACACCTACAAAAAACCACCTACAGCTAACATGCTTAATGGTGAGAAACTCAATGCTTTCCCTCTAATATCACGAACAAGTTGAGAAGGCCCCCTCTCACCACTGCTTTTCAACATTGTACTGAAAATTCCTAGCTAATGCAATAAGACAAGAAAGTAAAATAAAGACATATAGATTGGAATGGAATAAGTAAATCTGTCTTTGTTTACAGATAACATTTGTCTATGGAGATAATCCAAAAGATACGACAACGACAACCCCCAAATTCAAAACAAAAACAAAAATCTCTTCTAGAATGAATAAGTAATTCTAACAAGATTGCAGGATATAGAGTTAATATACAAGAGACAATTGCTTTTCTATATACCAGCAATAAACTAAAGGAAATTCATAATTAAAAATACATTACCATTTACAACACCCACCCAAAATAACATACTTTGGTATAACCCAATATGTACAAATTCTATTTGAAGGAAACAATAAAACTCTCTGAAAGTTATCAAGGAACTAACTAAATGGAGAGCTATTTCATGTTCATGGAGAGAAAGATTTAATATTGTCAGGATGCCAGTCTTCCCAACTTGATCTACAGATTCAGTGTAATCACAATAAAAATCACAACGAATTATTTTTTAGAAATAATCAAACTCATTCTAAACTTTATATGGAGAGGCAAAAGACCCAAAATAACCAAATCGATAATGAAGGAGAGGAACAAAGTCAGAGGACTAACACTAATTGACTTCTAGTCTTACTAGAAAGCTACAATAATCAAGTTGGTGTTGTATTGCCAAAAGAATAGATACTGGGGGAATTGAGATACCAGTGGAAATAAAGAAATTGAGATATCACTGGAATTTTTTTTTGAAAAAACATTTTTATATGGGTTTGACTTTTGAATCACATAAGTGTGAAGTATTCAAATATTAAATTTATGAAAAATGGTGAAAAACGTAAACTCTTCGATTACAATTACTAAGAAATGGACCTAATTGTATATCAAGTTTTTCTGTAAACATACAGGGAAAATGATGCATTTAAGTTACTTTTCCTATAATATTACATAAATCCTTAGTGAAGTATGACCATAGGACAAGAACCACACAATCAAATCTTGCATCTTACTTTGTAGTTTAGCCATTATTAATGGTGTTTATATTGCACTGGTGCAATGTATAAATACATTAATGTTGCTGGAAACCAGAGTGTCTACTGTGGAAGCAGAGAGAAACAAATATAAAACAGGGAACGTGAAGCAGAATCTGTGGTGGTAGACTTGAATTAGAGGCATCTATATAAGTACTTATAAACTTCTGATTTAAACATTTTATAGTAATTTTAAAGTTTTATGCCATTTGCTTCTTTGCTTGAAATTTAGGAACATATTCCCCTACCTCCTAGCTTCCCACCCTGATGCAGTTCTGTCTACTAAAATACCTGGAGTCAGTTACACCCAGGTAGCCATGAGCACACTTAGAACCCAGATCTTGGGCCAGGAGCAGTGGCTCATGCCTGTAATCCCAGCACTTTGGGAGGCCAAGGTGGGCGGATGGCCTGAACTCAGGAGTTTGCGACCAGCCTGGGCAACTCGGTGAAACCCCGTCTTTACTAAAATACAAAAAATTAGCCGGGTGTGGCAGTGCGTGCCTGTAGTCCCAGCTGCTTGGGAGGCTGAGGTAGGAGAATTGCTTGAACCCGGGAGGTGGAGGTTGCAGTGAGCCAAGATCGTGCCACTGCATTCCAGCCTGGGCAACAGAGCAAGACTCCATCTCAAAACAAAACAAAACAACAAAACCCCCAGATCTTCATTACTGAATAGCACTGTCTACTAAAGGAACCAGGATTTTTGGGGAAAGGCGGATTCTTCCAGGGGCAGGGAATGTACATGGTAAGCTTCAGACACCATGTGCAAGAAATCAAGGAAGTGATCAAATCCAAATGGGGCTGAGTCAAAAGAATAAAAAGGCTAGCTTGAAGGCTTCCACTAGGAAAATGATATACAATTTGGCATTTAAATAATAATATTAACAACAATGGATTAAAATCCCAAGAAATCATAGTGAAAGAGAGAGAGAGAGAGAGAAGGGAAAAGATGTTTCTATACAGATGCATGCCAGAAAATAAATCTAAAATAAATGATAGAATTAGAAAGTCACCATTTTACATGACCCCAGGGTAATAAGTAATTCAGGCAAAGACTATCAATAGATAATAATACTATTGGATGGATATTACTAAGGAATAAGATAGTCATGCAATCTCAAATATCATTTGTCAATTACTTATTAACTACAAAGAGAAAATTTTACCTTGTTATAGAGACGTCTGGCAGTCACCAGCTGAACAAAATGGTCAAACTTTGCACTACCATCATGGGACAGCCTGACATATGTGCCTCTTGAGATAATGTAATAGAAGGAACACAATCTAATTCTGTAATGATCCAGGCAAAAATTTTTAACCTGAGTCTCATCATGAGGAATACATGAAACTAATCCAAAGTGTGTGATATATTCTTTATGATAACTACCTGGAATCTTCAAAAACTGTTCTAAAATCACAGAAGGTAAAGGCAATGTTGTAGATCAAAAGTCAGTAAACCTTTTCTGTAAAGGGCAGATAGCAAATGTTTCATGCTTTGTGGGTCACATAGAAGTCTCTCTTGTATATTCTCCTTTCTTCCTTTCTTTTCTTTCTTCTTTGTTTTTGTCCTTGTAGTTTGGCTTTACAACTCTTAAGAAATGTAAAGATCCTTCTTAGCTTGAGATATAAGAACAGGCCATGCAGGATTGGTCTGTGGGCCACAGTTTACTTACTAACTGTTGTCCTAAAGTAAAAGAAAATGACAAGACATAACAACCAAATGTAATTTGTGAACCTTGATTGGGTCCTAGATTAAAAAACAAAACACCTATGAAAGTCATTTTTGAACTAGCAGGAGAAATTCAAATGTGTTCTGTATATTAGAAGGTATTTTTGAATTATTGCTTCTTTTTTCTATGATCATAGTGTTGTGATTATACTGGAAGATGTCCTTCTTAAGCAATGCCTGCCAAAATATTCTGAAGGGAAGCATAATAATGGCCACAATTTACTTTGAAATGTTTCAGGGAAGAAAATAGAAATAAAAGATACTAGGAGTCAGTAAGTGTTCTTAAATGATTGAATGGATGTACATCCAATTTACCCATTCTTTTGCAAATATACTTGGAGAGCTAAAAGATCATAAAAAATCAATTGCCAGATTCTATGTAGAAATGGATGAAATCAAACCTTTGGAATTGAGTTTAGATTTGATTTATTAGTATGTGAAGATTTGGGTCATACTTGAATGGTCAGAGAGGAAGAAAAAATTGATTAGCTTTAGAGTAAAAAGGAGGTATTAAGAGAAATCATAATGACAAATTATTTTTTGAGTTTCAAATCAGAATGCTGGATCTATAAATTCCACAGAGACTATTACTCAAACGTGTTCATTCTGCAGATAAGGAAACCACTGCCTAGACAGCGTTTGTTGTGTGTCAGAATTTATCAAACAGTTAGTGTAAGAACAGGGACTATAATGTACAGTATATCTGTCTTTTCCCTATACTATAGCTACTTAATATAGCTCAAAGTTATATATGTGATAAAGCCCTCATTCACTTTAATTTATAAGATTAGCTTTCCTAGCAGTCCCTTCAAATACAGCAAAATGTTCAATTGGTTATGGTTGTTGTTTTTTCTATTTGTGACTATCACTAGATAAAGACAGAATAAATAAGTTGAATAATTTACTAATTTGCTGGAAATTATCCAGTAAATTCAGGCTATGTGTGCAAACGTTAGGGCAAAAGTGTTATTAAATATACAGCCTTCTGCCTCTTAAGTAAACAAAACAAAGCAAACTCAGAGGGCACTCAACATTGTGAGGTTAGAGAAAAGAACTCTGGTATTGTTTGTGATTTACATTGTAAAGCACAGAAGTACTTAGAGAGGAGATCTATTTGCAAAAATCTGGTTATCTTATAGAGGCTCCTCCCTAGGTCAGAACAGCTTTTCCTTGCTGTCACAATGAAAGTGGAACTTGATGGCATCTGATGAACGATTTAAAGATATCACATTCAAAGCTAAGGGGAATAAGAGGTAGGATCCTGGGAGAGGGAGGAATTAGAGGGATGTGAGGTACAGAAAATCCATAGTAGAAAGAAACTCAGCAGAGAAGATGTGAAGTGGAGGAGTTTTCCTCCCTTCCAGAGACAAGAGGGATGATTTTATGATTTGCTTTGAGAGATAGAGTGAAGAATCCAGGTGCTTTGAAGATTCACTTCATTTGATGGATGTGAATTCCCTCCAGTTTTATATTCAAAATTACGTCTTAATTTTTTTAAAAAAGTAATTGTGGGGATTTGCGTGTTGATAGTACCCTTAAATCTCTAGTAGTTAGAATTAGTAAAGTTCTAATTATCTTATATTGGAGTTTTACATCCAAGGACATCTCTATTAAAAGGAGGTTTCTGTGTGGTCTGTTGTGGAGACGGCTTTGATGTCTTTACCAAAAGGTGTCTTTTTACTGTAAAAAGAATGGAGCAGTGGCTGCCCGTGGCTGCCTTCAGTGTGAGAATGTGCTGGAATATTTTATTGTTGGGTTGGCATTGAAGTTCTGCTGTGAAATGATTTTTATGAATGCTATTCCCTGGGAGGCTCACAGAACTGAGAATTTCATGTCATGAGGCCATGATCCCAGGGAGCAGAAATCAAATAAATAAAGGTCTTGGGGAATTATGGTCTATGGGATATATTTTCTTCTCAAAATGAGTCCATAGTTCACTTTGATGGTAAGTTTAAATGGATCATACGAGAGCAGAAAAATACATCTATCTTTAAGTGGTAACAAACTTCCATTTAAGAATTTCCCCCATAAAAATAATGTCTGAGGTCTAAAATTCAAGAAAAAACATAAGACAAGAAAAGAGAATAGTTATTATCATAGAGGAAGAGGGTTTAGTATACAGCTTTAAAGCTTTTGATTTAATGATATTTATATTTACAAAATGGAAAGTGGCAATTTGGAGCATCGTGTTCTATAAGGTTATATACTTGAGGGTTCTTTTCTAACAGCCATATTAAAAGCGTTTCTCCTTAAGGAGAAGTAGGTTAATTTCAAGAAAGAAGAGCCAAAAATAGGTTGCCTACAGCTGAAGACCAAGGAACCAACTTTAACTTGAAGCAGAATGGAGAGAACTGCTGGTTATGTTCTGGATCAATGCAATCATCTGTATAGCAGAATAATTTGAAAAGATTTTTTAAAATATGAATTATTACATCCTGACCCCACAAAAAAATCTGAGCAAATGTTTAGTAGGTCCAGCTCAAGGAAACCGTATCATTATCTTCTAGGAAGTGTTAGGGAGGATGTTTTAGAACACCATGGGAGAACAATAATTAACAAAAGCTTCATATTCAAATATGAGACACAGACCTCCTTCAAACATTCCTATTCTGAAAGACTATTAGGCTGACTTATCCATTGATAATAAAAATGATTTGGACACCTTTTGTAATATGGATTAAAACTCTAAGAAATTGAGACCATTTATAGTCATTAGCAGAACCCAAGTCACTGAAATATAAGAGAAATACATACCAGATTTTTCAATCTGTAGTAAAAGGAAAAGAAAGTTTTGGAGTAAGTTTTTCCTGCCAGAGTGTTATGAGAGTCAAATGATGTATTTGGTAGGAGAACACTGAAAAACTCTATTCTATATACATATTAGAAAAAAATAATGCCAAGCACTAGTGAATGCCCAATGTATGTGTTTTTAATGGATTTTAAGCATTTAAAATTGTCTGCTTGTATTTTTTCCATCCTATTGTATAGATAGTCTACAAATCCACCATTAAAATGAGGTAAATAATAGCAAACACAAACACTGCGGGTCATGATGTTGAATGCCATTATTCAAGTGAATCAGGAATATTATGATAGAGCTAATAAACTAGGATAATGATAAAATATACGCGTTGATACAATTCTATATGTCTCTTTTAAGAAATGACTCTTTATAATACATTTTAAATTCAGATTGCAGGTTCCTATCTAGCATGTAAGGGCATAATTTTGGAGCCTTCAGTATCAAAAATAGGAAGACCAGAACAATGACTACCCTAAGAATAATAATGACTATATGAAGTCAATACAAAATGGTTTACCTGCTTTAACTCCTTTCTTTCCCACAGTTTTGTGGGTAAATTTTTTTTTTCGTTAAAAGCAAGGCTAAGTAACTTGCCCAAGGTCATGCAAATAATAGCTAACAGAGTTAATGCTAATTCCACTCAGTAATCTTAATCAGCACTCTAGCATTGTAGCTCAAATTAGAGAAAACACTCTCCTCTTTTCTATGTCGCCGTGGGGTAGTCACTAAATTTGACATGTCAACTACCTCTGGTTCAGTGCTGCTTTGAGGGGACAGTGAGTCTTTGGGGTCCCTTTGCATTCTGTTGACTGTGAGAGCAGGGACTAGGATTTCAGGGGACTTTGGTTTTACCACCCTCTTCCAGTAGGTAAATATTGGAGGTGGATAGGGAAAAGGAAAAGTTCAGATCCTTGCACAAGACAGATACGTAGGTACGTCAGTCAGTTTGGCAACATGGGCTTCCAGAAAGACCTTCAAAGTGGCTGCAGTGATTGGCTCCCTGTTCCATGTCCAACTTGCTGAATTGTGTGAATCCAGAGAATACATATGTGGACAAAAGAAATTGATTTCCTGATTCAAAGGAAGATGAACAAGACAGATGCTAAGGAATGTTCTCCTCATTTTTTCTGTAATTGAATATTTTAGTAAACTATCCAGAAGTATTTTTAAAAGTCTTCAGAATCAAAGACCCCACAAAAATATTTAAAGGAGTTCCAAGTAATTATATCAGTAATCTTCCTGTCCCTCACTGCTTACATATCTTGAATTTATGTCTTAAATTGTTGCCCCACTTATTTTTCCAAAATCACATATCTAATCATTATAGTTTCCTAGTTACAACACTTTAATGTACTCCCATGATCTAGAGGATAGTCTTAACTTTTAAGCAAGGTATTTAGGCTTCTTTACACTCTGTCAGTCTATAGACCTCATCTTCTGTGGCCCTCTTCAACTACTTGTCCCCAAAAGCCTACTCCTTAGATAGCAGCTGTGTTGGGCTGTGCATCTTTCTTGAAATTGGTGACTCTCAAAGTTAAGGGTGCATCAGAATGATGAAGAGAGCTGCTAAAACACATCCCCAGAACATCTGATTCAAGTGGCCTGAATTGGCCTGAGTCTGCATCTCTAACAAGTTTCCGTGCAGTGCTGAAGATGTTGGCCGGGGTACCAGATTTTATGAATCACTTCTCTAAAGCAAGCCAGATTTTCTCTCAGGTGACACCATTTGATTC